GGGCCTGACTTCGTTCTGACGACGTATGTAGTCAGAATGTAGTCGGGGTGTAGTCAGATGTAGTCGGGTCTTTTTTGGGATGGAGGGTCCAAGTCAATTTTCGAAAAACGGTGTACTTCCTGTGGAGCACAAATATTTACATATGTTAATATATATATATATAGAATATATATAGACTCAGACATCTTCCTGTGACAGATTCTTCCTGTGGAGGCGGTGTGTCCGCTGTAGGTCTTGCTGTCTTGTTGAGGGCGGTGTCTCCGCTGTAGGTTCAATTCGGCGGTATACCTCCGCTGTAGGATTGCGGGCGGTTCCTCCGCTGTAGGATTGCTTGTGCCTTGTGTAGGAACCAATACTTCAGTCTTGGCGTCTTCAAAAAGGGTATGTGGTATGGAGCGTTCATTCAATAGCAGAAGGTTGAAGACGTGGCGGTGTGCCCGCTGTAGAAAACAAAGGTTTTCTGACGCCATTCCAAAAATGAACAAAAATATAGCTTTTTTTGAAACATCATCAAAATTGTTGAAAAAGCATGGGAAAATTGAAAAATGCGAAAATCAAAAAATTGCAAAAGCAAGCTTGTCCAAAAACGCTTGTCATACTTACACTAACTTATAAGTCAACTTATAAATCAGCTTAAATCTCACGAGATAAGTTCACGGTAAGTAGAATATGTATGATTTGTAAACAAAACAACATGAGCTAAGTTAACCCGTCCTTGTGGTAGGTCTCCCCGAGGTGGGTCGGCTTGCCAGCGATATCCCGCACGACGGTAGTCCCAGCTGTTCCATGACCACTGCCAGCTGGACCAATCCCAACTGGTCTGGCTGCTTCTAAAGGGAGCCCCTTGTTTGGTGGTCGGTTCTGGGTGGGGATGTCGGCTGCCCTTGACTGTGTTTGGGGGGAGTGGTTGGCTGAACACTGGCCGTTCCAGCAGAGCGCTGGGGTGGACTTTGCCTTGGTGCTCAGTGGCGCGCCCGCTTGTACTGGTTTTCCACTTCTCAGCTCGTCCCTGAGCCCGCTTTTCGCCCTTGGCCTTCAAGAAGCCAGGCATAAGGACTTTCTTAGGCTTCTCAGAGGTGCGCAGGGTAGGTCCTCGAATGTCACCCCTTCCATGCGCCAAGCTTCCGTGGTGCCTGGCCGCGCGATCTCTCTGCTTCTGGAGGTCTTTGGCCTCCGCGAAGGAGTATCCTGCTGCCAGGTCCTCTTGAAACTTACCCGGATGTGGCTTGTCAAAGTGGGGCTCAAGGTTGATGCGCATGTCCCAGAGGCGGTCGACACATCGCTTCCACGCATTCGTCCTGAGCTGTTTCTTCACCTCCGGAGTGGCCTGCATAAAGGCTACAATGTTCTCCCGTGTCCTGTTCAGGATCTCCTCATCTTCGGCCTTTTCCTCCGCCGTCCGGTCATCCTCTCCTCCCCAGTCAACGCTTTCTTCATCGAAGTACGGGGAGAAGATAGTCTCAGCAGTGGCGGAAGGGGCCTTTGAGGTAGCTCCCCGCTGTGCGGAAGGTGATGCCGCTGGAACAGCAGCTGAAAGCATGCTGGCGTTGCCCGTTGCCCTCTCCAAGTTATCCGGGCGCCGCTTTTCGCCCAGGCTTGGTGGAGCAGGCTTGAACTTTGGCGGGTTCTTCACTCTTGGTTCAGGGCCTTCTTGCTTACCCTCGCCAGTCAGCAAGTGTGACACTGCTGGATGCAAATGATATCCCAAGGACTGGCTGCTAAGGCTGCTGCTGCGGCACGGCACTAAAGGGTGGCCCGGCACGGACCACCCAATGGGTTTTGGGCGGAGCGCCCCAAACATCTTTGGCATGTACTGGATGAAGTGGTCAATGAATTCTTGCACGACCTCTTCATAGGTCCGAGAGTTGTCCTGACCACCGGTGGGCCCCCCATCCTGAGGATCGGGCCACATTGGTTCGTCCCAGTCCACGTTCGAGTCGAACTCGTGTTCGGTGAGCTCGTCGGACTCTTCTTCCTCGATGTGGACCTGCACAAAGTCGTCATCGCTGGGCCGGCCATGAGCTTCCTGCCAAGACATATCGCTGGGCACCCCACAAGGCTCTGAAAGCTGCTGTTCAGCTGGTTCATGGGGACCAATGTCGTCTTTGACCCGACCAGATGATGGTGGGCGCAACATGGCCTGATTTTGTCAATTTCCATGAAGCCACTGGGTTGAGCCGCACTGTACTGGCATGACGAACCATGGAATGTCTATCAGTGTGGAGGGAATAGCTTGGGCTAGATCTGAAAGGCATGGCCTTTTTCATTCACCAAAAACTCAGGGCAAGTTCCGACATCTGATCTGTCGGTTCATGCTCTGGCCCCCTCTATGATCAGGGGTCAGATCGCACAAGGCCTCTTTCAAGAGAGCCACATGAATTTCAAGCTCGGTCCCATGCTCAGTCAGAAGCAGCCACTCGTCCACCAGACCTGTGGCGGCCTGAACGATGTACAGCGGAAGCTCGAGAATCGCATTGAATCCCCTCCGAGTGGAGGGCAGGGATCCGATGGATGAACTTGTGATGTTGTCCAACGCTTCGGGCGGGATGCCCTGCAGAGAACACAAAGCTCGACGGCCAAGCACCCAAAAATCGAGGAACAGCTGGGACAGCAAGCTGGGGCCCATCTTCTTCACCACTTTGGCGAGAAACTCGCAGAGGTTCTCCAACCTGTCGAGGTCTTCGGCCGCTTGCTCCCCCTCGGCATGCGCCCATTGGCCAACCATGATCACGAATTGCAAGGCGAGGGTCATGATCGCACGATAAAGGCAGGCTTGACTTTCTTTAGCTATGAACCCAAAGCTGACAAATCACGCTTGGAAGATTGTTGCGCAGTAAAGAGAACCCTCTCAAGAAGTTTTTCAAAGATGAAACAACAAAGAGCTCTGGCGGCTTTTCTGTCTACAATTCCACTGAAGGCAGCACTCCAAGTCGTA